CCGACCCCGCGCGCCCCCGCCCGCGACAACGGGCGCTCGGTGGGAGACGCCGGGATTTGAAAACAAACCGCCGCCGTCTCCCGGGGTAACGGGGCGGGGCAAGTGTCGGCCCGCACGCGCCGCCACCCGCCCGCCGCCCTGGGGTGGAAGTGGCGGCTCGTGCCTCGGTCGTCGTGGGCACGAAGCCTCCCAGGACTCTGGTTACTTCGTCGCTGGGGCCAGTCCCTGCCTATAATCTCCCGCCCACCACGAAAAAGATCCCTGGAACTCCTTAGGAAGGGAAGGAGCACTGGGTCTTGTTTCTCTTCAGTCTGTCCAGATAGCCCAGGAAACACAGAACCTCATCCTGGAGGGTTGTGTCTTTAAAGCACATCCTGGGCACACTGAGAGGAGGACCGCCCTCCCATTCCTCAGCGTGGAAACTGAGAACCCTTGCCAGGTGCTGGTCAGCGCAGGCGTGGGGGCTGGGAGGCAGCGTTGGTGCCATTCAAGCTCTTCCCACTCAAGTCCTGGCCTGCGGCTCATCTGTGAGCCCGGGACTCACTCTCCTGCTCCTGGCTCCAGGTTACTGGCGTTTTCTTGGTTCCAGGTCTGCTCTTTTGCCCCTGGAGTGACGTGAGGGTCTGGAGTGACCCTCCTCTGCTCCAATCCCTGCACTTTGGGGGAAAAAAATGGAAGTTTCCACTCCACACTCTCCCATCTCTCTTTATTACTCTGACTTGACTTCTCACAAAAGCTTACTTTAAAAAAACAAAATAAAACAAGAGATGAAAGTATTGCCTGTTCAGAAACCAAGTTCTCATTATAACCCTTGCTTTGTAGTGTGGAATGTAGATATTTCTTGCACAACTCATACATTTTGAAGGGGAAAATTATGAAGAGGCCCAAGAACTTTTCTGCTTAAGGAAAGTCCACTGTACTCTGAGGCCCAGGCAGATATGAGGGGAATGACCTAGTAAAGTTACTGTTTAGCCAGAGAGTATCTCAAACTAATACATACTAAACCTGCCCCTTCCTCCTCCTCACCCTTTCCTGGTATTTCCCTCAGGGATGTCAATCGTGTAGCAGGCTGGCCTTTACCTGAAACCCAGGAGAAGTGGGAGGAAGTTGTATGGTGACTTAAGCAAAGAGTTCACTGAAAATATTTCTTCATTATTACATAGGGAAACATTTAGGCTGGGATGTTGATTTCTCTTCAAAAAAAAAAAAAAAAATTCCAGAGTTCTGTTTGGGCATTTTTATTTCTGGGAGAAAGTTTCCACTGTGACACCAGTTCATTTCCCTACAAAAATGGCATTGCCGTGGGGCCAGCCGGGTGGCAGAGTAGTTAAGTTCGCGCACTCTGCTTCGGCAGCCTGGGGTTTGCAGGTTCAGATGCTGGGCGCGGACCAACGCACCACTTGTCAAGCCGTGCTGTGGTAGTGTCCCATATAAAGTAGAGCAAGATGGGCACAGATGTTAGCCCAGGGCGACTCTTCGTCAGCAAAAAGAGGATTGGCAACGGATATTAGCTCAGGGCTAATCTTCCTCACACACACACAAAAAATGGCATTGCCATAAAACTCTCCCTGCTGATGCCTGAAATTACTCCAGCAGTTCATTCATATACATTAAACAGCCTCTTTAAGTGTTTTACTCCAATTCTCTGGAAAGGGCAGTGGGAATAAATAGCAGTGTGGGAGCACATGGTCGGGGGGAGCAGAAAAGGAGGAAAGGATGGGGTAGGGGAGAAAGACAGAATTTGAGTTTTCCCAGGGTCAGCCTGGGGACAGCATTTCATGATCTTTATCATTAATAGTTATCAGAACCAACTAGGCAAAAGTTAGAGGTTGAAGGGAGTAGAAAGATGATGTGAGAGATATACCCTCCTTCCCTTTGGGGTCTTAGTTAATAATAACTGACTTTTGTTTAATGATTTACAAAATGCTTTTACATCGCAAATCCATATGCCCTGCACACAGTCCTACCTGTTCAGTAGGCAAGGTGGGTGTTATATTGGACCATTTAATAGACGAGCAAATGGGGGATCAGAGAGATTTCAGGTAGTTACCAAAAATTACATGGCGAGCAAGGTCTTGACTTTTGATCATGTACTTTTTCTTAATTCACACTACCTCCCTGACTCTGCCTGAGAAGCCATATAAACAGGAAAATATAATGGTATGGTAAGTACCAGAGCTGGGGCACAAACAAGAAGTGCTACTGGAGGTCAGAGACAGGGTGAGAGATCTTCCAGATGTTTGGATCAGTTCAAACCCAGCCTTTAGCTAGGATCCTAAGCAAGACTGTGTAACTGATTTGGTCTGTGGAAATGGGCCTCTGGTTCAGCCTGGCTCCTTCTCAACCTCAAGACCCTCTTTAAACTCTCCTAATGTGTGAAATTGGATTTTCCACGTGTCCATTATTTAGCAGGAATGCCCCTCCTGAGTAACTTAACACCCTTACCCTATTAAAGTGCACATGTCAATAACGACCCATAAAGCAAGTATTTCTCAAACTACCCAAGGACAGAAGTAAAGGCCCCGTTTCCTCTCACATTGTGGTGTGCCCAAAGCTATCCACCCCAGGTTTCCCTTTCATATTAAGATGTCATATGACTTTTATTTTTTATTCATAATATATCCATGTTTGTTTTAATACTAAAGTCTATTTGGTCTCCTCAAATCTTTGAGTAGAATTCTCGTTTCAGAAGGAAGGGCTTCCTATACTTGCTGGCACACCTCTGTATACCCCTGAGGGTACATACATCCCAGTTTGAGAAGCAGTCTAAGAGAATTTCAGGCCTCTAGCTAGAATTTTCCTACTCCTCAACCACTTCTCCACATATGTGAGCTTTGACCCAAGCCCAAATGTATGATCTATTCTCATTTGTTAAATACTATCTTGGGTACATTACCCCACAAAAGCAAATTATACAGAAAGTCAGTCAGTCCTACCCACGAAGACATTCTGAAGGAGGGGTGGATAAAGAGAAAGATGTAAGAGAAATACTCCTAGGTGGCTGTAAGAGGTAAGATGCACAGAATTTAAGAGGAATCCTAAATATGGATCTGCTAGCTAAAACAAAACAAAATAACAAAAATGAAAAACACCTCATTTTACGAGGAAGCATCTCAGGCTCAGTGAGGTTAAATGACTTGGCTAAGGTCACCACCAGTTTACAGAAAATTCAGGACTAGAACCCATATCACAGTCTGTTTACTCCATGATATATAGAGCTAAGCAGAGTAAAAGCTAATACCGTAAATAAATATTTACATTTCCTAAAGAAAAATGTAAATGATAGGCCATGGAATGGAAAAAGTAAGAGGTGAAGTTAAATAGAGGCCAAGACTGCAAGTATAGTAGAGTATACTGGAAGATAAACAGTCGACTGAAGTGGTAGGGACGTGTAAATACAGGGTGGGACATTTAAATGGAACCATTTGGAGTCATGTAAACTGGGACTGACTTCATTATAGCCTCCCTTACGATACAGAACCGCACGTCAAAACTATTTGCTTTAGTCTGTTGACAAATGTGTTTGCTTCACAGAACCCAAGAGGAGTGTGAGAAGGGTTGAGGTAATCTGGGGGCAGTCAGGACATAGCCCTTTGAAGCTCAAAGTGAAGTGTGATGGATGAGGAAACCATTACAGATCTTTAAGGAAATGGGGCTCAAAGAGAGGACAAAGATTCTGGCAGCAGCATTGACTGCCTACTTCTCCAGCCACATCTCACTCCACCAGCAATACTTAACAGGCCCTGCTCCTTCCTGCTTCGGGGTCTTTGCACATGCTGTCCCTTTCGTCTAGGATGCTTCTCTCTCTTCTAACCCCCTTTGACCTCACTGATTCCCTCCCATTCTTCAGGTCTAGCTTACAAGGCCTGACTTCCTCAGAGAACCTTCTATGGCCCTCCATTAGCTTCTCTTGGCACTCTCTACTTTTTCTTCATAGCACTCACTATTTGTAATTATATGTTTCTTGGCATAATTAGCTTTTACTGAGTCCCTAACTCCCCCATGAGACTGTAAGCTTTCTGAGAGCAGGGACTATATGCATTTCATTTACCACTGTGCCTGGAACATGCATTACTGAACCAGGTTCATTTTGTCTGCTGCACAATTATGCCAATCACCAAGAAGGCAAGTTTGCAGCAGAGAAAGTGTTTAATTCACAAGGCAGCCAATCGAGGAGATGGGAGAACAAATCTCAAATCTACCTCCCTGAAAAATGGGGATTAGGAATATTTACGGGACAGAGGGGCAGGTGCTCTGAAGTGTGGGAATAGATGATTGGAGGTAAGGAGAAGTGAGGTAATTGCTGATCTACGCAAGTGTAGTCAAGCTTCATGGCTCTGCATAGGACTCGTATTCACAAAATGGTAGAGTTACCATGATCTAAGGGTGGAGTTTTCGGCTCCTTGACGTCAGAGGGTCATCTATCCGTCACCCATGTAGGCCCATTTGATGAGTTGGTGGTC